TAAAAAATATACTAGACGGGTACGTTTTGTACTTGTGCATGAAAAGTACACGTAATTCCAACATTAGTAAATTGAACTTGCAAAGATATCTTAATACGAAAACGTACATATAGTTTTTCATTACATAGGTACCTGTATTTGAACTTTGTAATTGTCATAATTATTTAATTTTAACACTTTAATAATTATAGTTTCAAAGTGAAGCCAAGGTCATCACGTGTCGGTAATCATCCAGCTGTTTCGAAGATATTGCGGATGCTAAGAGCAATTGCGGTGGGTTTTTTTAATTGACACTTGCTAGCTGGATGTATACTGTCTCCAAGGTCACGGTATACCTGAGTATATACTCCCCCTACATTCGATGCCCCTTAAGTTACATGTACCTCGTCTGGGCACGTTATCAATGAGAAATTCAATTATTATTCTTTTTTTTTTTTTTTGAATTTGGAAACGTCATAATATTTTGGTACGTTGCATGAAGAGTACATGTTCATGTAATTTGCTGCCACCTGAATGCTGAAAATCAGTAAAATAGCTTTACAAGAGAGAGAGAGAGAGAGAGAGAGAGAGAGAGAGAGAGAGAGAGAGAACACTGTATATTATTTGAAATTAAAATCGCTACAACCGGCCCATAGTTCTAAAACAATTCGAGTACGGAGAGGAGTGGGGGGCTCATCGAAATAAAAAACAACAACAAACAAACAAACAAACAAACAAACATCGGGCGTTATTATCTTAATTGCATCTACTTAATCATGCGAGTTTACAGTTATTGAATTCTTGTTTTGTTTGTTTTCTTTCTTGTTTTTATTTATTTTCAAACATTTAGAATTTTGTTTGTTAACATGCCGCTCCAGTATGTACATGTATGTAGTGGCGCGTGGGGAGGGGAGGGGGGGGGGATCATGAACCAGTGAAGAACACAAACTATTCAAGTGATCATTTATTTGAAAACAACTTAAAAAAATAATATATTCTTATCAGTGGACAAGTTATTAGTTTTTGTTTGTGTGTTTTGGTTTTTTGATTGTTGTTGTTTTTTTTTTTATAAGTCTTCCGTGAAACTCGCCTTATAAAACATTGATTTATAGCATGGAAGTAAATTATAAATGATCTGTAAAACGAAATTCAACTTACACTGTATGAGGATTTTTAGTGATTATCACGACCTACATATACATGTAATGGACGACAACCTAGATTAAATATAAACTGCTAAATATGAAAACTAGCATTTTACGTGTACAGTATGTCTCAGCTATTTCATAGCTAAGATCATAATTCAGTTGTTTGTCTTTCAAACATTTAAATTACGATTTAGCATTTGCAATTACAGTTGGAAGTTCCAACTTATTTTAAAACGCATGAATAATGTAAACAAATGAATTTGAAAGCTTTTTTTTTTTATTAAGATACTCTTATCAATTTCACTCCATCCGATACATCGAAAATAAATTTAACACCTTTTCTTCTTTTTCTTTCGAGATAGCTTGTAAGTTCAGAAAAATAAAACTGTTAATTCTACGTCGAATGTATGGTGAAATTCTTGAAAATTTATCACATCCTCCATATTGTCACTTACATGTACATGTTTCGATCGCCATAAAAACAGCAATGATCGATTTCACTACTGTATTTGGAATATACAAGGGGCGGGGCTTACTGGCGGCAAGATTAAAGCGGGGTCGCTTCACGCATGAGTGCGTAAAGCGAACCCGGAAAGCGAACGCCGGGTTCGCTCTAGCGGACCCAGAGCTGACCCCAAGCGAACGCAGAGCGAACCCGAAGCGCACCCAGAGCGGTCCCAAATTTTCTGAAAGCGGACCCGCAGCGGACCCCGAGCGAACCCAGGAAGCGAACCCGGGGTGCGCTTTGGGTTCGCTCTGGTGTTAGGTTGTGTCCGGTCGGTACTGCAAGTCGGTTGTTGAATGGCGTCTTTCATGCGAATTGTTAGGGCATTGTTTTTACATTGAATTGTCAACGGATTTTTCTGATTGCCCGACAAGGAGCACATGGCGGATGTGACCGGTCGACGGGGGATGCTCAGTCCTCCATGGCACCAGATCCCACCTTTGTTTTTGGAGGTCCGTTTTTTCTGTGCTCACAATATGTATTGTTTAGTTGAACTTTGACCATGATTACTATTCGTTATCTTCACATTTCATTAAGGTTATAAAAGAAGCAAGAGTCAGATAGAAAGCCTAATTGTTTACACCACGGCCAGGACCAGCATGGATCAGCTATCTCTCAACAAGGTACACAGTCGAGTGTAATAATGTACTGAGTTAAAGTAAAACAAAATTTACAATATTTTTATTTTTGCTTTTCAAGGAAAAGGATGATCCGAATTTAAGTTTTTTCTATTCCAAGTTTTACCTTGTTTGGGAAAATGAAATGGTCTACTTGGAACTCTGTCCCATATGAAACTTTCAAAACAATAAGAAATAAGAATAAGATTCTTACGAGAAAAGCTACATCTCTATCCTGTGATAAGTGGAAGCTGTAATCACAATATTGGTGGAGACTACGTTAAATGGTCACTGAGGCCAGGGTTGATATACCGATCAATAGAGTCCTTCCGGCCCAGAAGACCAAAGACTGAACGTGATTTATTACCAAACCTCAGAAGAATCCTAAATGACATGTGAAGAAAATAAACCAGGAGGAAGAAAAATAAATTATCCGATACAGGAAATACAGAATGTTAATCTCATTGATTCCATAGAAACTTTGAACATTAATCAGTGTTTTTACTTTTCTTTGAAGACTGCACTGAGATATATTAAAAGATGTTGGATGTCTGCATTTGTAATGTACGTGTTTGATATTATAAATTGGTTTTTAGATTTCATGGATGGTGTTTTTACAAGAATGACCAACATAATCCAATTCTGGTATAGGTCTGCAGTAATATAAATTCTATGGTGTTGGATGAGTATTTATTTTTGATTTGAGTCATGATTAAACATAATTAAACATTAATTGATTTCAAATTTTATTTATCCTGTTATTGTGAAGTAGTGAATAAAAAAACATGTAAAGCCAGAATGAATGCCATGGCTGGATAAGAAGCGGATTTAAAGAGGCGTGTCATACATGTAAGCTAAGAATTTTTTTACGTTTTCACAGCGTCATGTTTGTTTACATGTACATAAAATTACGACAATTTTTTTCTTTTATTACATGTAATTAACCCCGTCCCTTGAAAAAGAGGGCATATTGCTTTGCACCTGTCGGTCGGTACATCGGTCGGTCGGTAGACCAAGTGTTGTTAGTTTAATATTTTGAGAACCCTTTGCTTGTTAGATATCAAACTTGGTACACTGGTTCTCTATTGATTTTGAGGTCAGAAGGTCAAAGGTCAAAGGTTAAACTACTTTAGATATAGGAAGATCTTGTACGTGCAATATCTTGAGAACCATTCGCTTCATATACATGTGCAACAAACGTGGTACATATGCAGATAACCTCTGAATTGGTTTTAATTTTACAAGGTCAAAGATGAAGGTTCAAACTAGGCCAAAAATATTTTGATTGCTCAATATCTTAAGAACTCTTTTCTTGATAGACATCAAACTTGGTACACTGGTTCTACGTAAGAAGCAGATGACTCTTATTGTTTAAGACGGCACGAGATCATAGGTCATGGGTCAAACTGAACATTGGAAGATATTGACAGCTACCTATCTTTAGAAACCTTGCTTGACAGACATCAAACTTGATACACTGGTTTCCATTGAGAAGTAGTTTTGGTCATAAGGTCAAAGGTCAAGGTTCAAACATACGAATTATATTTATGAATATTTAAAGAACCCTTTGCTCGACAGAATTGAATTTTGTACTTTGGCTTTCCTTAAGAAGTTGATGATCCCCATTGAATTTGAGATCACAAGGTCAAAGATTGTGGGTTAAACTGGACAAAGGAAAATTTTGATCACTCAATATCTTGAGAACCCTTTACTTGAAAGACATCAAACTTGGTAATTTGATAATCATTGTAGATTTTGAGGTGACAAGGTCAAGGGTCAAACTACTCTAGACATTAGGAGATATTGTTCACTCAATATTTTGTATATTTTGTGATCACAAAGGTCGAAGGTCAATGGTCATTCAACACATAGACACTAGACATATCAAGATATTCTCAGCTCAGTATCCTGAGAACTATTTTTTAACAGACATCAAATTTGGTACACTGATACCCTTAACAAAGTAAATTAGCCCCAGTGATATATTGAGGTCTATTAGAGAGATCAAACTAAGTATCATATTTACCGCTGACTAGTCTATGACCAATTGTTTACACTATCATTACATGTATTCTTTATTTATAGTTGTTCCTTTTTTAATATTGCCACGTCGGGGAGGGGGACATATATGTTTCTAAAACATTTCTTATTACTCATAAAAGTAATAAATTAACATACTTTTAATGATCAGTATTTAGTGACAGGCCTATAAACAGCAGTTACAGACAAAATTTGACGAGGTTTCCAAATGCCGTTATACTTGGATAAGTTCTTCCTGCATTTTAAATGAATGTTGTACACAACGATTGCGGATTTTTAACTATGACGCCCGATGAAAAATGAAGACAGATTTTAAAGTAGTATACTGATTATGCAAAAAAAAAAAAAAAAAAAAAAAAAAAAAAAAAAGAATTATAATGAAAAATAAATTCAAAAAATTGCCTACCTCCATACATACACTATATCTTACCATAATTCCTTTAATAAGTATAGCAGGGTGTAGACTATTGATCCATAAACGCCTTGTCCAATAATGAAAAAGATATAAGTATGCTAATTAAAGATACTCGTGGTGGGGTTATGAGTTATAACAAATTTCCCCATAAGATTTGTGGGTGATAAGTTTATACACGACCGGATGATTAGTAAAAGAGCAAATCATCCTTCTTTTTTTTTTTTATTGATTTTCCTTGTGATCGGGAAATTAATTCAAATGCAGCAGTATTCAGCAAGGAGTTTACAACATGTCGGACTTAACAATGGACGACTGGTTAGATTTAGCCCCCTGTCCCCCTCCATCGAACCCGGGCCTGCTGTACAGGTCCCCCTACCCTGTAGACCTGACCGAGAATGAGGTACAGAGGATCGCAGAGAGATGCAAAGTCCCTCCTAAGGACATGCTAATAATGAGTTCATCTGTACGGAGCACATCGAGTGTGTTGCTTCCTGCTTTAGTTTCGTTGTTTTCTGTGACTTTCTTGGGGATTTTGATTGCTGTGGTGGTCTATAGGTGAGTTTTGGGGGAGGATGTATCTAAATATCATAATTAGAATGCTGCTGAAATTTTGATAATTATTTTTTCATTTTTTTCTATTTTACATAACATGACGCCTTATGTAATTAATCAATCTGATTCCTGTTTTCATTAAATATTAATCGTTATTGTAGAGCATCTATGCACACGTAAAAGTTAACTTGCTACATGAAAAAAAGTAGCAAATGCGTTTTAAAATGAGGTGTACTGTTTAAACCACAAAAATCAATTTAAAATTATAATAGTGGTTTGTTTAAACAAATCCACGTATTAAAGGAGCTATTAAAAATACTTTGTACTTCATCCATCGTTTTTAAACGATGAGAGAGAGAGAGAGAGAGAGAGAGAGAGAGAGAGAGAGAGAGAGAGAGATGATGATGGTGATGATGATGCATGACAGGTTTTTAATTCTCTCAATATACCCGAAATTTCAGCTGTTTTAGTACTCACACACACTTCTATATAAGTCAACATCCGTATATTTCATGCATCCAAATCATATTAAGGACAGATGATACAAACAAAAAATAGATGCCTGGATTGATATATATATATATATATATATATATATATATATATATATATATATATATATATATATATATATATATATATATATATATATATATATATATATATATATTGACCTATTTTGGTTGTAAATGTTACGAATAAAAAATTTCTAAAATATTAAGAAATTGTAAACTTTCTGTGATGCTCAAAATTCTACATTTCTGCAACCATCCTTATAAATCTATACAGCTTTTCGCCACTTAAAATCTCATTATTGTGAAAATTTGAATAAAAAAATGAAAATCTATGCGGTTAAAGGTATTCAATTTACTCCTTTGAACATGACTAAAGTTGTTTATTTCCAGATTTTTGACAAAAGTTTGTTTGTATCATCTGTCCCCAATGGAGCCGACTGGGGTTTTATTGTGTGAAATCTACAATAGAGAAACTCTTTAATTTTATACCGTATGTACCTTACATTGACTTCAGTATACATGCCAAGTTTAGTGAAAATCTACAAACTGATTATTTCTTAGGGAACATCTCAAAATACAGGTACATTTACTATAGGATTATATAGGAAAATACAATTTTTTCGCACATCGGAGCAAATTATACAAATGGTGCTATAGGCTTTTTGCTAAAATTATATTATTTGATGAGTAATACTGTATCGTACATTTTATGCAAGAAACACAAAATTTCACCGTCTGGTTTCCAGAGGGGGCATCTCAAAATGTTAAAATTCATGATATTTTCCTGTTTTTATGGAGTACTACAAAACATGACAGATACCACAGATTTATATGAAAAAATAATAAAAATGATTGTGAGATTCTCAATTTCCTATGTTGAAAATTTCATTTATTTTATACTTTTTTTAATGACATAATTAATGACCCCTCTTAAAGAACTTCGGTTATTCATAACGTCAAAAACACACTATTACGACGTCTATCGACCCATCATTTGAAAAAATCGTTTAAAAAATCAGTTATTTAAAAATATAATTAGATTTTTAAACCTGAGATTTTCCTAAATTTTTTAATTTTTATAAATTATGTAAAAATAGCTGCTTTAAAGAGTAGATACGCTTTATTTTACTATGCTGCGTGAAGTATCGCGCAATGAAAACCCCAGTCGCCCCCCCCCCCCCTTTAAGTAATTATCTTCCACCGATGCAAAAATCTTTTTTAATATTTACTTTTTCCTTGCTTGAGAATCTTAGTAATAAAAGATTTAATTGGAAAAATATTAACAGCAGTGAAGGGGAAAAACAAACATCAGCAGTATTGTGAGACAACGTATAGCAGAAGAGGTGTTAATCATATGTGGATACTAAAAAAAACTCTTAAGAACTTTTTTAAAAATTTGAGAAAACACAATTTTGCTTAAATCAACCGCATTAAAACGTAGGACATTCAACATTTTTGACATTTTCAACAGCAGTACTGTGATTTACTTATTGAATAAAAGTTATATTCTGTCACACTGTGAAGGGATACCAAAGTGATATTCTGTCACAGTGTGAAAGGATATAGAAGTAAGTAAAAAATAATTTCTGGTCTGTCAAAAGATACAGATAGTAATGAAACCATCTTGATAGAGACTAAAACGGCCAATTTCTTCCCCACATTGTTGCTAAAATCTATGTTACAATGTTTTGAATATCACAATTACGTCTCAACCGCTACTGTGACGTCACAGACTATGGCACTGTGGGGAATAAACACCAATCCCTGTTTAAGGGTAATAAACAGAAAATTCAATGTTTTCACTCGTGAGACAGGAAAATATCTTGAAAATATTTTTTTTAAAAATCCTGTCCCACTCGTGAAATAAATTCCATATCCAAGTACAAAACATTGAATATCCTCTATTTATACAACGATCCCACATAATGAATTAAAGACCAGACTTTTTGATATCACAGACAACTGCTTTTTTCAATAAAAATGGAACTCGAAATTTTTAATATCGTCATTTGCCATCTACAAAATTACTTTGTTAAAATCATTCTAATTCTACACATAAGTACTCCGAAGTTAAATTAAAAAGATGCTTGAGTTTCTCCTTGACAAAATCTATGCAGTCTTTGGAGACCAGTTCCTTTAACAATCTGTTTGAATTTCCATGGGTGCTTATTGTGCCCCTTTATTTGTTTATTTTATTCTTATCATGCAGAATTCATCCAAAAACTTCCATATGAAAAGAAGAAGCATATCGCTGTGGCATTCAATTCGGGATTAAGATACCGGTATATCAATGACGTTTTATCAATTAATAATATTAATTTTACTTCATATATTGAACTCGAAATAAAAGACACCAAGCACGGAATCTGACACCTCTGCCTCATACTTGGATATAAACATGTATTACTAAATGAAGACATCGATGACAAACTAACAATTAAACTTTATAATAAACGTGACGTCAACTCTACTATCATCACCTTCCCTTACTTATGTAGCAATAAAACATAATCACCTGTATATTGTGCTCATGCCTCCCAGTATGTTCGACACGCAGAAGAATGTTCTTCTGCCTACATGTAATTGCCAAACCGAGGCAGATTACTGACAAAAAATTGTTGTTAAAAGGATATCAAGAATAATGTTTAAAGTCAAAATTTAGCAAATTCTATGGTCGATACGATGACCTTGTTTGAAATACAACCTATGGTTAGGTCGAATGTTGTCTGACTTTTTAAATACAAATTGTTTGGTCATTATATTATTATTATACTGAACTGATTACGGAATTATATGTTTACCCAACCAAGACAAAGGGGTTCACGATGGACCAGTCGACAGGGATTGCTTACTACTCCGTAACACTTGAACCCATCTCTAAAGTTTTAAGGGGTCGGCGATTGTTCTGCTTCTGATTTGTATTATTTTTGCGGACTTTTGAGCACTATTATTGTTATCCTCATGTTTCATCTTTCGATTCCTTAAAAGAATTAATACTTTACATTACTATAGAATTTCAGAGTTTGACAACTTGTTTCTTTATTTTCTTTTCATCCCATACATTGTTAGACCATTATTTACAAACTGAATTGTCGACGGATTTTCCCGTTATTTCCCGATCATGACAAGGAGCACACGGAGGGTGTGACCGGTCGGCAGGGGATGCTCACTCCTCCATGGCACCTGATCCCACCTCTGATGTTTTGGAGGTCCGTGTTTGTTCTGCTCCTATTTTGTATTGTTTAATGGACTTTTGAGCTTGAATACTGTTCGTTATCTCCATATATTTCATTGAAACATTTCAGTTTATCATTCCTATGCTTCGCTTTTGTCTGCAATAATGAACAAAATTATAATCGTACCGAGAATAAAGCGTAAAAATGTCGTAGGTCCTCAACACGGAATTCCTATGTCCCTTATAGATGTTTTGTTATAGAACTTTGCGGATCAACTCTGGTAAGATTTGAAACGATGTATAATAATAAGTAGAACATTAACCATAAGAATTTTTCGATTAAAAAACAAGAAAAAAAAAACATAATCCATTAAGCAGGGATTGGTGTTCATTAGATTTGAATTATCTTCCTCTATTTCTTTGTTACGTACACATCGTGGGAATTCTTTTAAACTGGGTCGTAAGAAATATCATTTTTAAGGATTAGGCCATTATTTCTAATAGATCTTTTCTGCCACGCCTTATTTGAACATACAGATATGTTTTTCATATAAATGTGAAGATAACCGTAACGTATAGTGATCAATCTCCTAAACTCAGTAAAGAAACCCAATCCTGAACAAGGCAAACAACAGAGGTGGTATCAGGTGCCTAGGAGGAGTACGTACCCCTTTTCGACCGGTCACAGCCACCGTGAGCCTCCTCTATTGATCAGGTAGACGGCGTAATCCGTAGAAAAATTGGTATAAATTAAAGGCGTAACAATTGGTGGGAAAAATCAGCTTTTGTATATTATACTTTCAATTTCCTTGCAAATCTCGGTTTCTATACTAATTTTAGTCTTTCTCCCAGAACCTACATGTATGTTCCATAACAGCAGTAATTTTTCAAGCTTGTTATTTATGACACCAGTACATAGTCACACTAGCTATGTTAGTAAATTGTTTCTTTCCAGATACAGACACAAGAAACAGAGCACGGGCGATAGCTGCCTACAACCCATGGACTCTCAGTGTGATTTAATGGAAGAGGTTCAGGAACGTGGTTACAAGGGCTGTGACAATGATACATACAAAGAACTGAAGACTGCCAACACAAGCACACAGGAGAATTCTGACAAAAAAAAGCAGGTCTTACAGAATTCTGATAACACAAACACACAGCAGGACATGACAAATTCCGACAAAACAAAGCAGGTCTTACAGAATTCTGAAAAAGCAAAATTAAAGCAGGACCTTCAAATATCTGACGACTCCTTCTCAAAGCAGGGAAAACAGATTTGTGAAAATGTATACATATAGCACGAATTAAAGAATTCATAAAATCTGGCCAAAGATGCCAAAATAACAAGTGGTATAGAAACCGGAGCATTTTCATAACAGAAAGTTTTCTACCACGAGCGTTAAACTTACATGAAAATGGAAAGTTGTGATGTTTATTATTTTTACTTCAAATCAAAATTCACTTCTGATTTCTTCCACTGTTCTGTTTTTAACATTTTGGTTATATTTTTATGTTCTCTATTTTCACATTTTTATACTCTTTGATTGAATAAATAAACGTGATAGAAAATTTGTTTTAAAAATCAAAGTTAGTTTTATTGGTATATTACTCATGAATTTTTGAATAGAGGAATATGCTGAACAAAAGATTATTATCCAATAAAACTTGTCACGATTAATTTTATCATGAAAGTAATGATGATCAAGTTATAACTTTTGTTTAATATGATCAATTCAAATAATAGATAAGACTGGTACATGTAAGCTCCTGCTCTGCGAGTATGATTCACTATTCTCTAGCGTCTACTGAGTAAGTTCTTATTTCAATTAAACAAATACAAACAATCCATGTGTGAGTACTTTTATTGTCATCTGAAAATCAACACCGGGGTCTCCGTGATGTTCATATTCTTTCCTTTGGTGTGAAGTAAAGCAAGGATTTTGGAAGGGGGGTCTTCCTCATTAATCCCCTTTCTCCCTCCTAGCATCTATCTTCCTTAACCTCCTCGTACATTGCCCGAGCCTATTGGTGACAACAGACTTTGCTCCGAGCTAAAAATTTATATAGTGAATTAAAAAGGTGAAGATTTTTTAAAAGAGAATTTGTCTCGAAGACATCTCTTAAATAAGAGGAAAATCTCTTTGTTTATTTTCTTAACTTTATATTCAAGAAAGAAATAGACTAAAATAACAGAATAAACATATCTGTTTTCAATCAATTATGTAACATTTTTCTGCATAAAGAGCGTTTTGTTGATGGGATACGTCTTAATGATTTTGTAGGAATAATTTTTGATATTAATTGATACATTTATTCTCCAGAGAAAATATAACACAGATGGCTTATTGAAAAAAAGAAACCATAATAGGATTGGCATGAGCATTGTAGAAAAATGCAGGAGATTCTTTTCATGGCCGTAGGAACCGGAAGGCACGGGGGGGGGGGCGTACTCCCCCCGCCCCCTATAATTTTGCCGATATATAGATTACTATAGTAAACATGGATACTGTATGCTTGTGCCCCCTCAAAAAAAATGATGACCTTTTTTTTGTTTTATTTCATTTTTTTTTTAGCTTGTCAAGGACTTTTTGGTAGTTGATGACCTTTTTTGCTTCCAACGGACCTTATTTTAAGGCAGAAAACAGAAACAAGAAACTAACAATTAACAAAATAAAGCTTAAAATGCGAGTGATGTAATTTTTTTTTAGCGAAAAAGTATCAGGAAATTTTTTTGTTGTTGTTTTGTATTTTGTTTTTGTTTTTTTCAAAAAATACTGGATATCAGTATGTGAATGATGTGGAGAAGGATATAGAAAAGATCTTTATACTGAATAATAAGAATGAAGAAAAGAGGAAGTTAAATATCCTTGAAGGTCTATGAGTCGTTACCTGAAAACATTTTGTTCATAAATTTACTAACCTTGTCATTGGTCATTTGCAAAATTATTTGGTTAAAAAACATTCCGATTGTACACACAAGTACTCCGAAGTTGATATTAAGAAGAGTTTTTTGAGTTTCTGATTGACAATATTTATGTAGTTTTTGGAAATCAAGTCTTCCAACAATCAGTTGGAATTCCCATGAGGACTTATTGCGCCACGTTATCAGCAGACATACCTTTGTATTCATATCAAGCAGAATTTATTAAAAAAACTTATACATAAATAGAAGAAACAATTGCTGTGGCCTTCAACTCGACATTTAGATATCTTGACGACGTATTATCAATTAATAATAATTACATTTATATGTCAACGCAATATATCCCAGTGAACCTGGAATAAAAGATACCACAGTGTCTGACACATGTTTCATATTTGGATATTTTACTAGAAAAAGACGTTAATGGTAACCTAGCAACAAAACCTTAAGAAAAACGTGATGACTTCAACTTTTCTATTGTCAGCTTCCATTAGTTATGTAGCAATGTACCTTTATCACCTGCATATGGAGTTTATATCTCCCAGCTGATTAGATGCGCAAGAGCATGCTCTACGTACGTACAATTTCTAAAACGAGGTAAGCTATTGACAAACAAGTTCATGAAACAAGGATATCAATAGTCCCATTTAAAGTCAACATTACACAAATTCTATGGTCGATACAATGACCTTCTTAGGGAATCTATCAGTAAGTCGAATGTTGACTGACATTTTTCATAAAAATTGTTAGGCCATTATTTTCACACTAAATTGTCAACGGATTTTTCTACTTGTCCAATCATGAGAAAGAGCACATGGTGGGTGTGACCAGTCGACAGGGGATGCTTACTCCTCCATGGCACCTCATCCCATCTCTGATATTTAAAAGGTCTGTGTTGGCCTTGCTCCTGATTTATATTGTTTCAATGGACTTTTTCGTTTGATTACAGTTTGTTTTCTTCAAACTGTATAGTAAATACTCTAGAACCTAATTTATACATGGATATAATGCATGGTTTGCTATATCCCTTACACGACGTCAAAGAAAAAAATTGCAAGAATGAAATTGGTTTAGAGAAAAAAGAGATAAACTGAAAGAAATACTCATCTTGAAAAAAATAAGATTTTAAATTTTTAGAATACAAATATTTCAAAGCGAAAGCTTTCAGGAATTCTCAGATTTTATTTTAATCTAGGAAAATCAGTTTCTAAAGTGTTTATGTTACTAAGGGAAAAAAAAAAAAAAAAAAAAAAAAAAAAAAAAAAAAAAACAAACAAACAAACAAACAAACAAACGAACAACAACAACAACAAATAAAGAAAAAATAAAGAAATAAATTAAAAAAAAAAACGATAATAACTCTGTTAAAACTGAATTTTTTGAACTTTTTAGTATTTTATAGAATTAGAAAAAAATGTGAAAATACATAAAAATTTGAAAATAAATAATATTTTAATAAAGATATTTGAATTAACAAGCTTTAAGAATGTAATTCCAAACCTCCCGCTTAAATTGAATATCAAGTTGTATCTGTGTACAGAAATTATCATTTGATAAAATGGGGATATTTTAAAGCATTTAATGGTAGCTTAGTATCAAACTTTTACTTAAGTGAATAAGAGTTTTCACTATTGTAATCTAATTATATTTATTATGAATTTGAAATTCTTATATTTTATTGTGTCCATATTTTATATGCAAATTTTTAATATGAAACGTAAATATTACTTGTATGCTCACATTTATTTCTAGAATTTACCTCATTGGTATTGATTTTAAGAGATTTTCGGACTCGAAATCTAAAAAGTCTAGAGTAACAACTCAAAGTAAATCAAAGTATTAGAGTATGTACTATTGTAAACTTTGATTAACTAAAGTAATTTTTGGCATATAAAATTGCTCGTTTGCGAAACAGGTAAAAGATAATTTTATTTTAAAGGTGCTTAGACACAGATTTGAAGTTAATATTTTCTCAAATTTTCTGTATGATATCACGACTTATATATTGCAATAGCATTTCACACGAAAATATAATTAAAAACTTATTTTATCTGGAAATTATTGGAACTACGAATTCCTGGACGCGTTTGATTAACACATCCTTGCACTTTCACAAATTTTATCTTTATCCTAAACATTTAAGAAAAGAAGCGATTTTGTTGTGTATTAATGAAAAACATTACATCTATAATCCAGAAAATTCAGAGTAGAAATGTGCGAAAGCAAACCCCCTCACTAATATCGTCAGCCCGTGCTCAGTGTTGTGTACAGAGTTTAACAAATTGAATACACCCGTGAAACGTAAACTGTTTTTGTAAACAGGGCACGAGTTCTGTTATTGTTAATGTTTACGATTCACCGGGTGTGTTCAATTGTTAAACTCTGCACACACCACTGATCACGGACTGACAATACTGTGAGTGGGTTTTGCTTTCGAATATTTCTACTCTGAATTTTCTGGATTATAGTTTTAATGTTTTTCATTAATACACAACAAAATTGCCACTTTTCTTAAGTATTAAGAATATAATTAAAATTTGTGAAAGTGCAAGGATGTGTCAATCAAACGCGTTCAGAAATTTGAAGTTTCAATAACTACGAGATGAAATAAGATTTTTATTATATTTTAGTATGAAATGCTATAGCAACATATAAGTCATGAAATTCTACAAAAAATTTGAGAAAATATTAACTTCAAATCTGTGTCCAAGCACCTTTAATAGTTATATGACAATTTATAATTTATTAACCAATTAAGGCAAATTCCTATTAAATGAAAACATTATAATGTATCTGAAATTTCATATATCAGATTTTTTGGTACGCTTTAATTTTATTGATTAAAGATACAACGAAGGACGAGGAATGATAAAACAATCAATATTTATTTGCTTCAGTGTACTTTCACTTTCATCTTCAAAGATGAACGCATATGTAAATGTAAAGAGATATGTTCTACCGTGTACCTTTTATTGTTTAAATGTGTATCGAAAGAATGCTTCTATTGTATACACATAACATGTTACTTACCAGTAGTAATGGATGATTATTTTTGGCACTTTAAGTTTAAAGATAATTTAAATATACAGGTTGCATAAAAATTGAATGATTTGCAAACGTGTATATAAGTTCGTGTGACATTCTTTTACAACTCGATCTATATTCTATTTTTTAAAAGACTTTTTCAATGTGACATCTTGTTAACGTTGTTGTTCGTTGGACAATTTCATAATTTTTTTTTCCAGGAGTTTAAATAGCACACTACAGTAGAGGTAAATATATTAATTAAAAGCGTATATTTTTGGCCATCAAAACTGTTGTTAGTAAACAAACATTTCCCAGGATTATAGAGGTACTAGTGTTAATTTAGCTTACTTTTCTACCCTTTGTTGGCAAAATGTGAGCTCAGAACTATATTTTTATGTGACTGACACATCTGGTACATTCAAAACTTTTTGATATATTTTTTTTATAAAACGTCTGCCTGATACTAAAACAGATAGATGGAGTGTTTATTTAAGGTCACACCAATGTTGTCCTCCATATATTTAAGATGTAGGCATTTAATACCCTACATTAAAGTCAATTGCGTTGCATTACCTATGTTGTATATAATACTTGATAGCCGAGGACTTCCGTGACAAGGCAAATAATAACAAGGATTTAACTTTTGAGAATTGTATGTTTGGCATGATTCCTTATGTTTATAAGTATGGTATATGAGGTAAAAATTTATTTTTCTGATCATAAAAAAGATTTTTTCGATACTAACTATATTGTTGAAACACAGAAGTAAAAGCTAACCAAAAAGTGTTATTTCCGAGAAATACTTATGTAAGCTTTGTGATAACCCATTTGACGTAAAGGTAGTGTTTTTTCTCCACAGAAATTCTCACAGGATAAAAAACTGCATCGGACAATGACCCAGTAGCAGGGAGTTTGATTCGTTGATGTAGATATATTATTGACATTAGTTATGCCTGGCGCTGGAGCTTTCTTGCAGATTGGTAAAGTAAGTTCTACCTTATTTTTAAATATCCAAGGACTAGACAGTAATATCGATCTATACCCCAAAATTTCAACCCTGAGTTGAACAAGTAGGAGATGTTTAAAGATAGTTGTTCCAGTAACTTATCTGGTGTTATACATGTACCTTCTTTAATTGAAAAAAAACTTCCTTTTTGGAACAGGCTGTGCCCTATCATGGATGATTCAATTTGAGATATCTAGATGTTACCCTTTGCAAACAAATGACAAAACAATAAATGATGAATACATTTTTTTTTCTCAAAGATAATAATAATAATAAAAAACCCCCAAATTTATGTGTATATAAGTAAATTGAATATGTTTAGCCGCATAAATATTCATCTTCATTTAAAAATACATTTTTTTTTATCTACATGTACACCTGCAGGTAACATGGCGTACCAATATAAAAAAAAATCTTTGTAAGCGCAACAATTTACTATCTTTTGAAGAACAGATAGGATTATTTTCAATTAAAAAGTGAAAAATAATTGGTTATATATGTTGATATCATTCATTTATTATGAATTAATGCTCTTTGCTGAGAATGCACCAGCGTAGTAAGGATGAGTACACGAATCGTCATAAATTTGATAACAAAAGTCAAATAAAGCATGCAAAAAAGAAATTTATGTCTAATTTCATTTTCAGAAGCCAACCAAAAAAGAGGAGGTATAGTAGCTATGGGATTGTGGTGTTTTATGAGTGTTGAATTTTGAGCCAAATTGATTATAAGCTAAAGAAAGTTTGTGTCGATTATATGGTAAATACTTACAGCGGATCATAGGTGTTCTCCTTTGGTTGTAGAGTTAGGGAAGTTTATCTATCTTATTTTAGCATAAAAGGATTTGAAATTAAAACTCTTTAACTTAAGCCTGAAATATTGAGATAACGAACAGTAATCAAGCTCAAAGTCCATTTAAACAATACAAATCGGGAGCAGAAAAAAAAAACAAAAAAACATAGACCTCCAAAAACATCAGAGGTGGGATCAGGTGCCATGGAGGAGTGAACATTCACTGCCGACCGGTCACATCCGCCGTATGCTCCTTGTCATGATTGGGAAAAAAAACGGAAAAATCCGTAGACATTGCAGTGTGTAAATAATGGCCTAACAATTAGTATGAATACCTCCGTCTGAATTTGACCCAATGAGAGGTTGTATTTGCTGACAAGGTCATTGTATCGACCATAAAACTTGCAAATTGATGACTTCAAACTAGACTGTTGTATCCTTGTTTCATCAACTTGTTTGTCAGTAGCTTGGCCATGTCAAGAAGTTACAAATTACGGTTTCGAAATTTTGATATATGTCTTTTTGCCCCCCTCCCCCCTTCAAAGATTAAAAAAATATTAAACACTTATCCACTTGCTGTGAGTGGGATAGTTTTATCAAACCCAAGACAGAAACTTTTCCCCGAGAGCTTGGATAAAAGTTTAATTATATTAATGTTTGTACAATTTCTGAGTGTTGATAAGAACATTTTTTACCCTGGAGTAAAGCTTTATGGAACTCTTCAGTGCTTGAGAAATCTGTCCGTCTGTCCTTCTTAACTTTATATAGGAAATATTTCAACAGAAGTATTTTAATAATGTGTTTTTTCGACCAAAATCACATCAGGATTATTTCTATTGTTTTGCAATTGGATAATTAAGTTTTAAAATGTGGTGGATTGGTCGCAACTTTGAAGTTTGGATTTTGTGAGTTTTTTTTTACTTCCTCTGAGTAATCAGATTGATCTGTATTGCAGATTAAATTCAGAATTCGTGTCACTTTCTGGAAGAGCAAACAAGAATATCTTTGTTGAAGCTGATTATCCCCCAAAAAAACAGTAGCCTCTACCTTCAGCAATTTTTATAAAAAAGCTAAAGACAGAAGTATGTGTTGTGAAGCTAGGATTGTATTTATTTTTGTAGGTAAGCCTAGACCGCGTGATAGGCCTGACAGTTAATACCAATGCGACCTTGACCTGTGACCTCAACACAGGGACCATCGTTTATCCTGCAGGGTGGGTATCCAGTCAGATTGCACACAAGTTAAAGTGTTTTAAGTAGTAGATTGTCTTGAAGCATACCATGTATATTAATTTTTCTAACAAAAATAGTGAATTTGTAATAAAAACTGATATTCTCTCACATAAACCTTATGTTCACTGTATCATATATATTGTGCATCAATAAACATAAAATAGTCAAAACATTCACAAGTATATCTGGGTGTGAAAAATGGGCATAAATATTGAAAGATTCAGGTTATTCAATGCCTTACCCTGTTCAGGTAATTTGATTCTGATAAAAGTCTCTGTCAGGTGAAAGCAATGGTAAAAATGTGTATAATAAATATCTAATTTCCACAATGTTAACCCATATGTTGCCATAAAGCATCGGAAAGTGAAAGTAAGTTTGTTATTAGAGTTAGTGATACCTTGATTTAGTTAGATATGTATTACTATATTAAATTATCTATGTTGCCTGGAATTCTTTACTCCTTCCTTCTTCAGATTTTTGTGAACTTGTATGATCGCACACAGACAGCAATCAAATAAAAAAGTAGTTTTGTAGCTGACCTACAGTCTTAAGTAGTTCAAGATATAAACCTACAATGATTATAAAAAAGTTTTAAGTTTCACCGTCACGTGTTTTTGGTATTTCCAATTATCGAAGAAAGTGATTGATTTGCTGAATAACCTCTTGATTTGGATTTATTTTTAAGATTTTTGTCCTTGAATCATCGACTTTGTGCCTAGATAAACCATTCGATTTCACAGATCTTCTTCATTGAATAACAAATTCTTAGGCCATTTTTTTTGTAATGAATTGACTACAGTTTATCAATCCCGTTTACCTTGCCAATACAGAGGGCGAGTGTGATCTGTCGACGGGGGATGCTTACTCCTTCATGGTACCTGATTCTATTTCTGAGGTTTTCTTGTGTGTCTTATTTGCTCTGTTCTCAATCTAAATTGTTTATTTGGATTTTTAAGCTTGATCTTCAAATTTCATGTAAAAATGTTCTCGTAAAAATATCAGTCGCTTTTCGTATACGTTCAAAACTGTCTATATCGTGAATAAATTGCTTTCTGATGAATTCTCATTTTGGTATAGGATTTGTTGGCCTAGGTTTTTCTCTTTTTTATAAAGCTAAATTTTTACCTTGTTTTTTTTTTTTATTAACAGTATTTGTAAGTGCATTTGCAAATATTAAGATAATCATACACCCACGAAGGTCAGAGATAAGTTGCAATTGACATAGAGCATAAAATTATCTTTAATGTCTTCAAACACCTTACAGTAAAACATATTTGCAACGAGCACGCTTATCATGAATTCAAACTTACAGTGAAGTTATCTAAATTCCCTGTACTTTTAAAACGTATTCTGAACGTTTACAGTAAATCGGAAGTGTTTGTCCCCTAGATTTTTGCTTTAAGCATGTTTTTTCTGAAAAAAAGTGTAAGCCGACAATTTTTTCAGATTTTTTGACTTGAATGATATTGAAATTATCTCTAAAATGGCCTTATTTGACAAGGAACAGAGATCCATAATTATTTGTTTACACTATATGTATTACTAAAATAACAATCATAATTGCCATATAATCAACATGTCCAATTCTAAGCATTTCAAGAAATAGAAAATCACTCTAGCGGTGTAGTTTCTATGGAATCTTGCCCCGTTAAGTTCTTGATCTATCCATCCATCCACCATCCAACCATCCATTTTTTTTTTAAAGAAAAAGATTATTTATAAAAATGTTCACAACTTTTTCGTAATACCTTCCAAGATAAATTAAAAAAGCAACCAAACAAAAGAATTGAAAAACATGTAGGAAAAAAAGATGATATTCGATATATTTTATGTTACAATTGGTATGAACATGTACATACTTAACCGTAGACAAAGTCACTTACAACACTACAGATATATCTCTTTAGAATTGTGTACCACCACACAGTGTCTAAATTTGAACAATCGAAGTTCATCTATTTAGTCTCTCAGTAGGCCTGTCCCTGAACGTCTCATACATGTGTATATGTTTTATCTTTTGAGTGTTTGACCCAGTTAAATTTTACAGTGTACAATTGTAAATATCTATAGATCATTACCTGTATTATGTCATTGGTCCTGGATTGTATATGGTTGACAAAATATGCTTCTGCTATGTCATTTATTGAATTGCTGATTAGGCAAAGTCGGCCAAATCAGATGATGTAAAATCTAATTTGTAAAAATAGCGCAGAAAAAATTATGAATATAGACCATGTAAAGTACACAGAAATATTCAGACAACGGTTTAAAAAAAACTGTGTCTTATATCTAGTTTAACTTGTTATCTCACACAAGTAAAAAAAAAAATAGAGATTTTAAATCTGGTTGTTGTTTTTGCAATGACATTTCGGATAAAAAATAGTTGTCTTTCGTTCAAAACATTCTGAAAAGAGATTTAAAAGGCTAAAAAAGGTTATGTTAATGGAAAGAAATGGCTTTGACCGTACGTATAACATGAAAAAAAGAAAGAAAGATCATATGTTTAAATGAAAGCATATGATAAACCTCCAGTGATAAAACTTCTCGTTTTGGTTTTTGTGAAAAGATATCCATGTTCAGTAAAGATATCGGTCATCCGTATAATTAAAAGTATTTAGCATTGATTAGTGCACCATTATGTGATGTTCTTGGTAAGCCTACATAGGACTTTAATTCGACATTGAAGATTTATCGACGACGTTTTATCAATTTAAAACAATATTCATTTTCATTCAGTAAGTCGATTCGATACATACATGGACTCTTAAAAAGACACCACAGAGTCTTACACAGTTGTTTCCTATTTATAAGGTTAATTAGAGAAAAAGATTGATGGAAACTAACAATTTAACTAAACAATAGCACAAACGTGATAACTAAGTATAAACAATGTCTTAACCAAAGCAAAATACTGATAAATAAGTTGATGATACAAGGGTATCAACAATCTAGTTAAAGCAAACATTTCGCACATTCTATTTTCAGTACAATGATCTTATTTGCAATTAATACTTGTTAACTGATCTTTTTATACAGATTTGTTAGGCCAAAATTTTCTTGCTGAATTGTCTACGTATTACTCCGTTTCCCCGATGGAGAAAAAGAGCTCAAAACGGTGTGACCGATCGACAGGGAATGTTTACTCCTTCACGGTACCTGATCCTACCTCTGATATTTTTCAGAGGTCTTTTCTTTTTATAATGTTTCACCCAAGGCGTGATTACTGGTTCTTCACATTTTATGTTAGTTTTTCACGGCACAAAGCCCAGTAGAGAAGTAAAATTGTTACCACTACTAGAAACTAAATATACACACATGTACCTACTCTCTTAATTCTGAAACATTTTAGAAAAGTACTGGCTTTGAACAGAAATGATAAATAGTAATTCAGGGGGAATGGGAACTAAAAACTGCAGTAGTAAAAGTAAATCAATATGTGGACACTTTCAGACAAAACCATAAAACTCATTTAGTGCGAACAATTATACAGCGCATTGAGAGATATAATAAGTTATTTCTGTAATATGACAACAAATAAACTTCTATATTACTTAGGTGAATTCCATGGCTTTCTCAAAAGATGGCTCCGTGTTCGTGACTGTTAGGCACCGTCATGTAAAGTTTTGGTATTTAAAGGACACTAAATTAAAGGTAACAATAAGTCAAACTAGGTTTTACATCATTATAGGAACCAAGATAATATGGAAAAGACTATAAATAGCACTGGTTAAAGTAAAATTAAGATTTTATATTCTGTGGGATGGGATGGAAGTAAATGGAGATCAGCAAGTGTATACATCAAAATAAGAAGGTAAATGAATTACAAAGAATATATCAAATTGCAGAAAATCTTAAGAGAGAGAGAGAGAGAGAGAGAGAGAGAGAGAGAGAGAGAGAGAGAGAGAGCACGTTTTCTGAATGATAGGTGCCACATTCCCTAGAAATAAGAAACCTCTTTTTTTTTGGTAGATTAATCAGGCGGTGCCTCTTCAGGGAAGCAGTGGAATCCTTCGTTCCCACCTAAACAACTTTTACTGTGACGTCAGCTGTGGTCACACAGTGTACGCTATAACTCAGTCTGGTTTACTGTGTCAGCTCAACGAGAAACGAGAGTTGGACAAGTTTGTGGAAGTGCAAGTAGGTCAAGTCTCATTAATTTCAGGGTCAGCTATATGAAAAAAAAAGTTTCTTCGTTCGTTTGATTCTCTATCATCAAAAAAAGTAAGGGATGGAGGTGAGGTAGCTCATAACTGGCTATATTTCCAACTTACACCCATAGCTCCCTATATAAGGAGGAAATTATTCAAAATCCTGTGTCAGTTTTTAATATTTTTAATATTCCCAACAACCAAAATGAATTTGAATCACCATATTTATACTGGATTCCAAAACTGCATAAAAATCCTTACAAACAAAGATACATAGCGGGTTCCAGTAAATGTTCTACCAAACCTCTTTCTTTACCCCTCACTAAAATATTTACAGCAGTGAAGGAGAAACTTTAGGAGTATTGTGCAACAATATATTCGAAAAGTGGTGTAAATCGGACGTGGATACTTAAAAATTCCAAGGAAATTTTGGAAAAATTTGAAATCACAAAAGTTTACCCAAATCAATAACATAAAAACTTACGACGTTTTAACTCTGTATACAACCATTCCAAACGATAAATTAAAGTCCAGGCTTTTTGACATCATTGACAGCTGCTTTTTCAATAAAAATGGAACCTTTTCATTGGTCATTTGCAAAATTATTCTGTTAAAAAACATTCTGAATGTACACACAAGTACTCTACAGTCCTTTAAAGTCATCATTTCGTAAGTTCTATGGTCGATACAATGACCTAGTCAGCAAATACAATCTATCATTAAGTCATATGCTGACTGACGTTTTTCATATTAATTGTTTGGCCATTATTTACACACTGAATTATCGACGGATTTTTTCGTTGTTTCCCGATGATGACAAGGAGCACACGGCCGGTGTAACCGGTCAGCAGGGGATGCTCACTCCTCCATGGCACCTGATCCCACATCTGTTTTTGGAGGTCCATGTTTGCTCTGCTCCCGATTTGTATTGTTTTAATGGACTTTGAGCTTGAATACTGTTCGTCATCTTCATTTTAGTGAGCTCTTCAGAGCTTAACCCTCCTCTTTCTCCTTTCCACTACACTTTACTTTCCAAGTAACTGTGATTTTGTGTGAATATCTTTTAGTCAAATTTTTGACATAATTTTTCATTTAATAATTTCGTCTAGAAGGAAGTACCACTTTATCGTTTTTATATAATCAGAACTTCTTCAGCTCGTGATATTGATTTGATCTTGGGTTCTCAGGATATACCCTCAATTTATACATTTATAAACTTTTTTGCGTCGAGGACAAGGTTTTGATTTTTTTCTCCTTAATCGTATATTTTCCCAATGAATCTGTACACAGCCTTAGCACTTCTTAAGGATTTTACATATTCTGACGTATTCAAAATAAATACCCCTAAAAATGCAAATATTTGGATGAAGAAATATTTATTAAACACTAAGATTTTGTGACTTTAATATGAAATACAAGTCCATTGACAATTGGAGCATTTTTAGACTTTTTTTTAGAATTTTTATCAAAATTTTCGATTTTTGGGTTGTCTTCCTTTTCCAGGCCACCGCTGCTTATTGTATCTCTGCTGGAAAGGACCACATATTTGTTGGCTGTGCTGACGGTGTGATCCGGATATTTGATGCCAATCTGCAGTATGTAGCTACAATGCCGCATCCACACTGGCTGGGGGTCGATGTTGCTTTACATCCCAGTCACAGGTATGATACATATTTATTATCAGGGGAACATCAGTCCCAATTTTGATTATTGTATATGAGGAGGATCTCAGGTCCCAGGAATGATACACAAATATCAGGTGAACATCAGTCCTGGGTATAAAACATGTATATTAAGGGAATTTTAGTTCCAGGTATTTTTCTGTTATTTTGACAATTTTTTATATAGATGTTGGAGACTAAATAAAATTTAAGCGAATTTAGTTATACATACTCAAATATGTGGGCTAAAAATGATGTAAATTGTTGTTGAATGAAATATATGGAGATAACGAACAGTATTCAAGCTCAAAAGTCCATCAAACACTACAAAATAGGAGCAGAGCAAACACGGACCTCCAAACATCAGAGGTGGGATCAGGTGCCATGGAGGAGTGAGCATCCCCTGCCGACCGGTCACACCCGCCGTGTGCTCCTTGTCATGATCGGGAAATAAAGGAAGATGATTTTACAACGGAAAAAAATTGATTTTACATGTCAGGTTTATCGCTCTTGAAAGAAAGTCAAGAGTCATTTTTATTTATTTATTTTGTAATTTTAAACACTTTGTTGTTTGTTAAGTTTACAACTCAAGAAGTCACGATTTAATACAAAATATTTTCAAACTGGAATACAAATCCAGGTACGATTTAAATTTGTGTATATTACTTTATTTCCAGATGAAATATATGGAGATAACGAACAGTACTCAAGCTTAAAAGTTTATTCAAATAATACAAATCAGGAGCATAGAAAACACGGACCTCTAAAGCATCAGAGATGGGATCAAGTGCCGTGGAGGAGTGAGCATTCTCTGCCGACCGGTCACACCCGATGTGTGCTCCTTGTCATGATCGGGAAATAACGGGAAAATCCGTCGACAATTCAGTGTGTAAATAATGATCTAACAGTTAGAATGAAAACGTCAGTCAGCATTTGACTAAACAATATATTGCATTTGCAGACAAGGTCACCGCATCGACCATAGAACTTACGAAATTATGACTTTAAATGAGACAGTTGATATTCTTGTTGAAACGTTCAGATGAAAGTTTTAGTGCATAAAGGGTTTTATTAAAAAGGAGATTCTGTTATTGAGAAGTTGAAGTTGAATTTGTTTAATATTACAGTGTATATTGATAAATGTTGCCTATTGCTTTGTATACATTCAGTTGCTGATGCTGTTAATGACCTATATTTTCTTGAAGAGTAAATATGTTTACAATTTTAAGAATGCTTATATTTTTAAGTAACTACTTTTCTGTTGTTCAAAGATGAATGACTAAGTCCACATAGATGAATACAATAAAACATGTTTGAATACTGCATTTGTCGTTTCGTTTTTTCAGTCACCTGAATTTTCAAACAGAGGATGCTAGGTTCCCAGACACTGTTGCTATCAGCTACGACGATGTACACCGAATGGTAAACAGCTGAGTAGTCTGGTAATAGTACCGGTCATGTTTTTAGAATATAACTTAATGAATAGAACATTAATTTTTTTTCATAATATCTGTTTTATTTTAATACTGATCTGAGGTATAGAGTAATTTACCTCCCTGTCTGTATCTAAATCAAAACTGGTTTTTATACAATGTAAAGGGAACAGGGATTCAATCTTTTTTGTTTGTTTTTTTAACTTTCCTTCGAAAATTGTTGACTCATATTGAGACACCACCACTTGCTGGTGAAGGGCTGCAAATTTAGATCTGTACTCTGCACTTACAGCCTTTGAGCAGTAAGGGATCTTTTTTCGTTTTGAGAATAATCCTTAACACAGAACTGGAGTGCTTTCAGGATCGTATCGGCTACGTCGACTACGTAGGCTTTATGAAGAGCTGCTTTCCTGGATGATGCAGTGTATGCTAATATAGACCATACTCAGGGACAGCTAATAGATGCTAGATACAAATTCCAAGATAGCAATCTTAATAACCTCTCTTAACCAAACATTAATTTATGATATTTATGTTTTTTCAACCTTTTGGAATGAATGAAATGTTTCTTGTGCTTTTTTCCTCCTCTTACTTTTTTTGTTACATATTGCTGAGCAATTTATATCCTAAATTTGATAACTTATTAACTGTTCAGCGGTCTTAAAAGTAGCTCTAGTATAAAGAAAAAATTACAAGATACATGGAATGACGATAACAACTGAGACATCTATTTATTTATTTTTGACATTTGGTTTACAGGTGACTTGTGTGTACAATGACCACAGTCTTTATGTGTGGGACGTCCATGACGTCATGAAAATTAGCAAGATCTGCTCTTTCCTGTACCACAGCAGTGGCATCTGGGGGTCGGAGGTCAGTGCCTATCTGTCTGTCTGTTTGTCTGTCTTACTGTCTCCTGTCCTGACATGTTGATAAGTATTGTATAAAACATGATCTTTTAAAAAAAAGTAAATTATAATCTGTATAATCTGGGTTTTTTTTTATTTTAAAAAAGTCTATTGGGCCCTATTGTGGGGATTTATTTTACCTTTTATTCTTCTGGTGCCAGGACCATTTCACTGCGATTCTGTGCCAAAAGTAGAAGAGAAAAATAGATAAATAGAAAAAAATTGTTTCTGAAGGTTAACCCGGGTATAACAGAGGACGTGAAGCCAGTTTTACCATCGGGATCATTTATTACTTGTTCCTCGGATGACACGATTCGGATCTGGAATCTGGATCCACACATGATGGAAACTGAAAGTAGCAAACGGAATGTCTACTCTAATGTAAGTGGATTTATTGTAGTAAACGGAATGTCTATTCTAATGTAAGTGGATTTACTCTAGTAAATGGAATGTCTACTCTAATGTAAGTGGATTAACTGTAGTAAACGGAATGTCTATTCTAATGTAAGTGGATTTATTGAAGTAAACTAAGAGTGCATATTGTTATCAAAAGGAGGTAGTCACTTTTATATACAATCATGTATTTCACGGAATTACTATTATTTTCTTCTCTTTTTATTTCTTCTTCTTGAGCAGATTTTCCTCTTTTCTAATCATGAAGTATGTAAAATCACCATCCCTCATATCATCAAATTTTATTATTTTGATTTCACGTATTAATTTTAGGAATTGCTGAAAATTGTTTATGTGGATCCAACGCATACCTTTCTGAAGGATGTTTCTCGCAAACCAGGTTTGCTAAGACACTTTATCTAAGACAAACTTATATTGAAGTTTAATTTCATTTAAAATTTAAAATCATGAAATATTCAAAATTAAACCTTGTGATTGTGCGTTTAAGTAACTTTTTTACTTCTTAAAAAACATAGTAAAGCGAAAACTTTAAATATAAAACCGGTTGTAGAAAATATAAAAAGATCCGTTCTAAGATCTATTTCCTAAATTGCACACAGTTTAAGCAAATAAGCGCTATATAACCCATTATAATCCATGCACATTGTGATGCAAGAACATAGTGAATATTGAGGGATATAACTTATAATATAAAAGTTTATTACACACTTCCGCTTTTAAGAAGAACTGTTATTTTTCTTCTAGCAGATGAAGGTAAATCTGGAATTCGATGCATCGGAATAAGTCCTGATGGGCGCCATCTTGCTTCCGGGGATAGAATTGGAAATATCAGGTATTGTTTAAAAAAGGAATACCAAATACAGCTTTATACAGCAAATTATTAAGTAAAAAAGTAATAAAAGTAATATTTATTCTAATGATATTTTTTTATACCCAGGGTGCATAATTTAAGAAATATGGAGGAAATTATTAAACTAGAGGCTCACGACCAAGAAATTCTTTGTGTCCATTACTCAAATCTTACTGCAGGTGGGTTGGCATTTTAGATGCTTGGAGATAGAAATTAGATTTTATAAATTTAATGAGGTGTCTGATCCTTTATGCTAGATTTTATAGAATTTTGCATTCTTATTAATAACATTTCATTAAAATAATCAATTCACAATGGGTTAAAGTAATACTTATACATGTACGATTAAGGTACTTTTTTGAGGTACATTTAGATAGCAGAAGGAATATCAGGTTACACTAAATATAGACATTACAATTTTACAAAATTTCTTTTAAACTGATCATCACTGTTAAATAGGTTCCAAAACGTAACAGTATTTTTCAGTTTGTAAACATTTTCAGGTATGTATATTCTTCCATTGAAAAAAATACAACCGAAATTCGTGTTATTCATCTTCTATTTCTCTTATGTCACAGAGATCACATGCTACAGTAATTTATCTGATTTAACAATAGTATAAAGCCTGCCACAAATAACAGCTAAGAAGTAACTAACACATCTAAATTTACTTGAACGGTAAATAAGTTCCTATGGTAAAAAGGAAATTTTTCTGTAGGCAGAGGCCTACTTTATAAATTCTTTAATTTACATACTTTAGAGAGTTAAAAATATTCAATTTCCAGTCTTATCTAAAAGCTTCTTTACACTGATCTTCACTTTTCTAGATAAACAAACTATTCTTCATACAAACTGGTCATTTCAAAACTTTACAGAACCATTTTCATTCAATATATTTCAGACATATAACAAACATTCTAAGTGAAAAACACCTTCTTTTTCCAGATTATAAATAATTTCATATTACATTTGAGAGATCTTAACATTTTTCCATAGGCGCTTGGGTCAAGGATAATGTATATTTTCTATATAATGTATTGTCGAGGAAATTCGAACTATATTCGTAACATTTTTTTAAGCGCACAGTGGTCGTTTTTAGTTTTTTGTAAATCTTTCTGCTTGATATACACTAGACTGTCGCAGAAATTTGATATTATGCACGTTTTAAGAATGACATATCCCAACTGTATACTAAAAAGAAACAAGGCTTGCAACTGCATTCGCCCCTTTCCGTGCCCCCGACACGAATTTATCCTTTTAAAAGTTATATGCAATGCTTACCAGCTGAATTGAGAACCCTCTTCTCTCCAGATAATTCTTATATAATGATAAAATTCCTCTGGAAACAACTTTTCGTCCATTTTATATTTTTAAATAATTATTTTCTTTCAAATTTCGCTCGTTTAATTCTCTAATCACGGAAGTTCCCGAATACTAACGTCCAAAACCCAAAACGGGCGACCAGTAAATTATTTGACAGTTCTTGAAAGACGCAAGGGTTAGAGTATATGCCAAATAGAAACTGTCTAAAACTTCCTTCCTAATCACTCACTTTATCATTTTCTTATTTGCATCCTTAATCAAAGGAGTTTATAGTTTTAATTTATGGACGGGGGGGGGGGCATAGTTAGGCCTATGCAAGTCCAAATCATTTCACTTCTTTTAAAGTGAATTACGATATCAATATTGTCAATCTTCAAGAATAAATTAAACATTGTGGCAATTGAATTACATTTAGACTTTACATTGAAAAATAAAGTGCAAGCATTTTTTTTACACGGACATGCAAATTAAAGAAAATAGCAATGCTCATATGCATATCAAAGGAATTTACGATTAAGATGAAAATATGTTTTTGCAAGATAACGTGAATCTTAAAAAACGTTTTTAGAAGACACTTTCTTCTCTAAAATATTGGTTTAGCATGATGTAAGAAACAGCTAAAATTGTTGGTCTTAATCGTACTAAGTTCTTTTGTAAAACGGACCCTTGGTCAATAAACGCAAAGAGGTTAAAAAGTAAATTTAAAAAAATCGTTTGTACACAACGTGGATAGAAGTTTGAATCAGAGGTAAATTTAATAAGAAGGGAAATTAAAAATTCGAGCCAGAAAACATTGTGGAAATGATATATGCATTAATATATGCATTAATGAAATATCATTTTAGGGGAGGGGGTAGGGGTAACATTGCATTTCAAATCTCATTCTACACTAATTTGTACATGTATTGCTATATAATATGTACCTTGAATTTTATATAACAATCAAGAAGCCTCGTTTTTGAAAGTGGGGCAGCCAAAAAAATAATTAACAAGCAAACAAAATAAAACGTTTCGAAAACAAAACTGCGTGAAAAATCTGACTTGCAAAAAATATAAAAATGAAAAACTGTCTCGACGTAAAAAAAAAAATGCATTTCGTGAGCATGGTGTGGGTGCATTTTCTCTCCTTGACAGTAAAAAAAAATAAGGATACAATAACCATTTGGAAGCAAAATGTGTCAGCGTGCGTGTGTGTAAAAGGGAAGAGGAGGGGCGCTTAACCGGCGTTTCAATGAAAATATCAATACTAAGTTAGGGGTACACTTGGGTGCTACGAACCTGGTTCAGTCCTTCTTCCATAATTAAAATATCATTGATTAAAGAGTGATTTCTGGTGTTGCTGCTTTTGTTGTTGTTGTTGTTGTTGATCTGCTATTAGGTGGAATTTTTTACAAGTAAAAATAATATATTTCAGCTAATTAAGTCAGATCAAGATTCTTTTTAAAGAAGTTTCAATCGCTTTATACGTTGGTGTATAAACAGCCTTTGGGTCTATTGGATCTTCTTTGTGAATTACATGTAGTAAAAAGAGAAACAGTTTTTCAATCTTGTTCATATAAACTTGCCACATTGTTTAATAGATTCTCTATAATGATTAATATCATTACCACCACCACCCCTTTCCCATCATCCCCCAGTCCATAACTTCTTTGATTAAGGATGCAAATAAGAAAATAATAAAGTGAGTGATTAGGAAGGAAATTTTAGACAGTTTCTATTTGGCATATACTCTAACCCTTGCGTCTTTCAAGAACTGTCAAATAATTTACTGGTTCCCCCGTTTTGGGTTTTGGACGTTAGTATTCGGGAACTTCCGTGATTAGAGAATTAAACGAGCGAAATTTGAAAGAAAATAATTATTTAAAAATATAAAATGGACGAAAAGTTGTTATCAGAGGGTTTTTATCATTATATAAGAATTATCGGGAGAGAAGAGGGTTCTCAATTCAGCTGGTAAGCATTGCATATAACTTTTAAAAGGAAAAATTCGTGTCGGGGGCACGGAAAGGGGCGAATGCAGTTACAAGCTTTGTTTCTTTTTAGTATACAGTTGGGATATGTCATTCTTAAAACGTGCATAATATCAAATTTCTGCGACAGTCTAGTGTATATCAAGCAGAAAGATTTACAAAAAACTAAAAACGACCACTGTGCGCTTAAAAAAATGTTACGAATATAGTTCGAATTTCCTCGACAATACATTATATAGAAAATATACATTATCCTTGACCCAAGCGCCTATGCATTTTTCCAAAAACAAGTCAGCGCCAAAAGCCGACAATCCTGGCATTCATAGACACAAAGTTACTCTGCCTAGGTCACCATGTACAAGACTATTATAAGAATAGTTTTTTTTTTAACTTTCTTAATGAATTTACAGAATTCAAATTGCAATGACTAAATTATACTGCTATTCTCTTATCCCCAAACTTCTGATTCTTTGAAAGGATAAAGGGTGTCAAAAGTACATTTTCTTCTGGAAGCTTGATTAACTTTGGCTGGAAAGACCTAAGAGCCTTTGGATCAAACAATGTTATAAAATATAAACAAGCAGATATAATGTTCTATCTTCACTCAATACAATAAACAAAGGTTTCCTTGCTTGCTGTACAAGACTTCCTTAATTCTTCTGAAATTAACTTCTCTTGAAAATAAAATGTCATGGTATTGAATCTTTTTTCTTGACAGTTTCTCATCATTTTACACGAAAATGGTATTTTCACAATGTCTACTTTTTGAAATATACATTTCTTTTTATGCAACTTGGAGCATCCCCTCGAAAGAGAGCAAAGTGACATAGATCCCAATGTAAATTACTAGTACTTTATAATATAAGGCTCGTGTTTTTAATTAGAAAAAAAAATAATTATTAAAAATAAATATTTTATTTCTTATGCCCCACGCTGATGGCTTCTGGCAGTAAGGATTGTAAGGCCTTTTTTAGGTCACCTGAGTAAACTTGCTATCCGTTTTTGTACGTCGTATGTCGTTCGTCGGTCGTAAACTTTTGAACATTTTTAGCTTCTTCTCTAGAACCGCTCAACCAATTTCAACCAAATTTGGTATATAGCATTTATGGGTAAAGGGGAACAAAAATTGTGAATTTCATGGTCCCTGCCCCCCTGGGGCTTGAGGGGTGGGGCTAAAACCACCAAAAATAATGCAATCTTTAAAAATCTTCTTCTTTACTCCTGGACATCAAGCAGTCAAACTGTTGTTATCATTGTAATAAGCATGGAGCCCTCTACCAAAATTGTGAAATTCATGGCCCCAGGGTCAGGGGTTCTGGCCCCAGGGTGGGGCTATATAGATCATATAGTGAAAGTGCATTATTTCTTTGAAAATCTTCTTCTCTGCTCCTGGGTATTAAATAAAGTTACTAAGTACATAGTTATGATGAGCAAGAGTGCCTCTTTCAAAATTGTGAAATTCATGGCCCCAGGGTCAGGGGTTCTGGTGTTATGGCAGGGCTCTATTGATTATATAGTGAAAATGCATTATTTCTTTGAAAATCTTCTTCTCTGCTCCTGGGTATCAAATAAAGAAACTAAGTACATAGTTATGATGAGCAAGAGTACCTCTTCCAAAATTGTGAATTTCATGGCCCCAGGGTCAGGGGTTCTGGTGTTAGGGCGGGGCTCTATCGACTATGGTGAAAATGCATTAATTCTTTGAAAATCTTCTCCTCTGCTCCTGGGCATTAAGGTGATAAACTAAGTACATAGTTATGATGAGGAGGTGGGCCTCTTCCAGAATTGTGAAAGCCATGGCCCCTGGGACAGGGGTTCTGGTGTTAGGGCGGGGCTCTATTGATTATATGGTGAAAATGCTTTAATTCTTTGAAAATCTTCTTCTCTGCTACTGGAGATTATTTAAACAAACTAAGAGCATGGTTATGATGCATAAGGATGCCTTTTCAAAAATTGTGAATTTCATGGCCCCAGGGTCAGGGGTTCTGGTGTTAGGGCGGGGCTCTATAGATTATATAGTGAAAATGCATTGATTCTTTGAAAATCTTCTTCTCTGCTACTGGAGATTATATAAACAAACTAAGTGCATGATTATGATAGAAGGATGCCTCTTCTAAAATTTTTAAATATATGGCCTCAGTTTTTGGGGTTCTTGAGGAGGGGGGGGGGGGCTCTGTTGATTATATAGTGAAAAAAGCATTAATTCTATTAATCATTAATTAATCCTGTCTGCTCCTTAGTGTTGAGCTGATAAATAAATTGCATAGCTATGATGAAAATGGGAGCTTCGAACAGAATTTTTAAATCTTGTGGTGCTAGGGTCAGGGGTTCTGGCATAACGAGGGGGGGGGGACTTTTGATAATATAGTGGAAAAGTGTTAATTGTTTGAAGTCCATAGTTATGATGATGAGGGTAACTCTTCCAAATTTGTAAATTTCTTGACCCTTGGTCTTGGGTTCTGGTGTTAGGGTAAGGCTTTGTTGAATCTGTAATGAAAATGCATTGTACCTGTGAAATTCTTCTCTGCTTCTGGGCATATTGGAAGCAAACTGAGTAAAAGTTTAAATGATATGAGTAAGCGTATTTCTACCAGATTTTTAAACATCTGGACCATTGGTCTAAGCATTCTGGTCCTGGGCAGGGCTCTATTAATTTGTATTCTACTGAGAGAAGTTATTCCCCTTTTCCATTCACCTTTGATAATTAATCACTGTAAATAATGTATTTGAAAGGTTAATAGAATAAGATAATTATGCAAGAATGTTTATCGTATAATTAAAAAAGTACTTTCTTAGTTTTAATAAACAGGTAGACCTGTAAGTAATAGATAAATAAAAATGAGACAAAAATAACTTATCTTATTAAAAGTTCTTCAAAGACCATAAGAGAGGTCAATGCTAGAGGTCTTAATATGGGTTTATAAATAGTACAGAAGCACTAATAGTTTGTTAATAGTCTGCAAAGTGTTAAGTGGGGGACAGATTACAACTTAATTTATGAGTTGATACTGAATACTAGACTAATTATTTTGTTGATCCTGATCTTCCTACTTCTCTTGCTTTAGGGCAACAAAGCTTCAACTATCAGTGTATTTAACTTCTAAATTGTTGTATTATACTCAGGTGACCGTTAAGGCCCTTGGGCCTCTTGTTAAAAAATAAAATGATAGTTTTCTTTGATTAGGTCCTAAGCTGATGGCGTCTGGCAGTAGGGATCGTCTTATTCACGTCTTTGACGTGGATCAGAGTTACAATTTGATGCAAACCCTCGCTGACCATTCCAGCTCTGTTACTCCCATCAAATTCACGGAGAATGACGAACAAATTAAGATGCTCAGTTCCAGTGCCGACAAATCTGTTCTCTTCCGAGAAGCACATAAGGTACACCTTTATCAGCATAACATTAAAATGTTTTTTTACACGTGTAAATTGTATTCAAAATATATTTATTGAAGTTTGAAGTTGGCTGAAGAGTGGTATAGTTTTTTTTTTGTTGGAATACCATTAAGGCACCGTGGTTTACATGCTTTTTATTTCTATTGCAGTCTTCAGAGTGTCAGTTTGAAATTTCTAAACAACAACATGTTGTAGGCACCAATACATTATATGACATAGATATCGAACCCACACAAAAACATATGGCAACCGCATGTCAAGACCGAAACATCAGGTAATCTGCATTAACTTTCAATAAATTCCAGAATTTATGGATCGATGGAAGGTTTTGACTTCCTGTTCTTTTAAAAGTACGTAAAACATCCGTTGGCATCTTCTAGAAGCGTGTTCATTTTTTTTATCCTTAAGGTAACACACCGATCTTGAACAAAATGCTAGCCTTATCATTAAGTAAGGAAAACAAACATAAATATTTGATGTTCTAGGTGGCGATTAAATGAAATATTGTAATCTAAGCTACATTTTTTGCATCACACATAAAAATTATATAAATTCTAGTAATCTGAAGGTTGCTTTTCTCTATCTCCGACAATTAAGGAAGTTCTAAACACTGCTCACTGTAGAGTTCTGATTCTTCGGTACTTTTGTGTAAGGGACATCTTCTCCTCCTAGGCACCTGATCCTATCTCTGGTGTTCCTAGGGGTCCGTCTCACGATTCATATTCTCTACTGAATTTTTGAGATTGATTACTGATCATTATCTTAACCTTCTACATAACAGTGATTTTCCCTTTGATGTAAGAAATGGGATTAACGGATACATATGACTGTTTGGTGAACATTTTGTATGACGTTATACACCGTTTTCGTTTATCTCGATGGGTTGGATATACATATATATTATATACAAACTCTCGTTTAACATGTTTTCATTTAGTGCAAAGTACTGTAGACTTTTTCTTAAGGTCAAGATCTAGTAAATGATAGGTGCCTACACATTTTTCAAATTTGAGGGGCGGGTTCTTTTAATGGTCCTTTACAAATATAGCTTGGTAAATAAGGTGTTTCGGGACATAATTTTTAGGTAAACTCAATGAAAAAAAACATGTTTTAAACTGTCATTTTCACTGTAAAATGAAGAAAGTCAGGTATAAATTTCAGAGTTTTTCCATCTAAGAAAAGGAAATGTATCGATATTGCTCACAGTCTCTCTTAAAACGGTTTTTCGCATCTTCTTGACCTCTACTTTAAAATGATATTTAATTGAATATAGGTATCGGGGTTATTTTTGACATGATTTCAAATTGAATTCCATGAAAATGCATCATTTCCTATATAATTCTATTACAGCCATAAAGTACGGGAAAAAAGTTTAAATCAATTATGATGTCATAATGGATATAGCTTCAAAAAGACAGTCTAAACTCATTTACATGTACTAGATCTTGACCTTAAGTGGGATAAAATTATCTATGTACGCGATCAAAAACTTTCCACAGAAATTTGTCAGAGTGTACCTAAAATACATCTAATGTGTACAGTAGCAATTCAAGAAATCCAAGTATTTTTCTACTAGCGGATTGATTCAAAATTGATATTCCACGGAATTATGACCCCACGGAAAAAGTATATTTACAGAAATAAAATAGTTAAGAACGGTCAACCAGTATAATAAACTGTACGTGGCCAGCATGATGTCACAATGCCTATTTGGTATTGCTGTATTATACAGAATTTCTGTTTATAACAAAAAATTAAAATTTATAAATATTAAATAAATAACATAATCAATACACAATTCAATGCAAACATTCGCATTCAATAAAAAAAATTCAATTCATTATATAATATGTGGATAAATTTACCTTTCGTAGAGTATACAACATTGAAACAGTGAAGCAAATGCAGTGTTACAAAGGAGCAGTTGGAATTAAAGGGGTGCTATTAAAGCTTCAGTTAGACCCGTCCGGTCAGTACGTGGTCACTTGTTGTTCGGATAAAAGTCTTTGTTTACTGGACTTTAAGTCTGGCGAAATTTTGGCCACCATGATCGGCCATTCGGAGCAGATCAATGGTGTAAAATTTATGCCTGACCTGAAGCGTTTGGTGTCCGTATCCAGCGATGGCTGTATCTTTGTCTGGAGACTGTCCCCTGAACTGACCGAATCAATGCGAGGCCGTCTGGAGGAGATGGGGAGACTTCCTTATGAGGCCATCAACGCGGAAATCAACAGGTGGGAGAATTTTTTATGCGATCAAAGTTATACAGAGGAATATGTAGAATTTCTTGATAACAACACAATTTCGATTTAAGAATATTTTGCCAATCAGCTATTGGAGAAAAATAACTTGAGTTAAGATTTGGGAGCTAATGAGGGTTTCACTCACATATCTATTCGTCAGGAAAGGAAATGAAATTATTATGGCCATCGAGATTTTTACAAAAAACATAATCATTTTTCAAACAGTAAAAACCTAAATTAATGTCTTCTGCAAACAATCAATATGTACACGCTAGAAAAATAAAAATAAATGTTAACAGATTGTATCTCTGTTGCATACATTTCGTTATCGGCGTTTTGCCTATTTGATGATATTGAACAGTTTAATGTACAATATTCTTTATCCATCGAACTATTCTTTGCCTCCTCTGTTTATGAGTTTTCTTTTCATTCTTTGAATTATATTATAAAACACATAATGAACTAAACTGAGGTGAAATATTAGGAATCATGGATCGTGTTGGAATCGGACTTACCGGATTGCTGATCCTGCCCCTCTCTCGCTAGAAAAAGCTCTGGAAGAAGCTGTTTTGAGCCCTGGTGTACAGGTAGCTAAACCAAAAGTCCAGGAAGAGGTACAAACAGAGGAAAATAAAGACTCTCCTAGTATCCAGACAGATATACAGGCTGACAGAAAGGAGGAACTGCCCGACTACAACAGCACAATTACCGGACTACCCGACTGGATCCAGGCAAAGGTGAGGAAAGGGATAACAAGGCAGGTAAGCTACAGGAAAGATGGGTCAACGTGGTCAAAATTACAGTGATAATGGCCTACATGTGTCATTGTTAGATCAACAAAAAGAAAAATAATCACCAAATCAATAAAAAATATATATTTTTCGGGCTTTAATTAGTGTAACGAAGATATGCTTATTGGGTCTAAGTGAATGTTTCACAAAGGTTATATGGGGAAGAGTCAGTAGATGAGGAAAGAGACGTATGTTACCACTGATAAAAAGATTTTGACCATGCAGAGGCTCTTTCAGAGTCCGGAATATCACTTTAGATGAGGACTAAGAATTAAACTTAAATGAGTGCTTCAAGGGTAAACGTTCTTAGGGAGGAATGACCTTTGTTACCTATAATGACTGGCTATTTGTTTCCAGATGGGCAGGGATATCTCTAGTTCAAGGGAATCTGACAACCAACTGCAGCCCCCTTCTGGTCGTTGGGCGGTAAAAAATGACAGTTTAAAGTCATGGAAAAGCGGCATAAAGGGTCCGTGTGTGGAGGGTGAGCCTCAGGGTTATGACAGTGAGTAGATACATGTAGATTTACATGTAATATATGTAATTCATCATGTGTAGAGGGTGCCAGTAGAATGAATGATAGACATCCATTCAATGTATTTCGAGAGTAATTTTTTTCTGAAAAATATAAACCTTAAATTTGCTGCTGATGAATCATATTGCAATTACATGTAAAAATCGTGTTGCTTAAGTGTTCTAAGGTATTGATACCTAACTGAATTATGTTGTTGCCAGAGCCGTCCAGCGTGGAAACCTTGCCTTTGGAGGAGGTTGAGGATAAAGTGGACCAAGTTGAAAATGCAGCCCTCTACTACGTCTCCGGGAATGACCTCTCAGTCGAACCAATAGACTTAGTGAGTGATTGATGGATTGAATGCTGTGCGTTACGTCCATGCAGAATCTTTCACCAGTAATAGGACATTTATCGGTTATAGCACAGTGCCAAATTATAGTAAACGATGTTATCAAGGGGGGGGGGGGGGGCTTCATTTTCATCTGCTAGGAAATTTCTTTTGAAAGACATTTCACTTTTAAAATTGCTTTTGTCAAAAATATAGTGAAAAAACAGTCCCTACCTATACTGAATTCTTTAAGGTCAAAACCGGCGAGAGTTGATCACAAAACCTTCCGCACAAAAATACAACGTTTTAACATCTGAACAGGCATACTGTTTATTCTTGTCATATTTCAAGCAGGCAAGAAACAAAATCAAGTATTGTAGAATGAAACTGAATCATACTAAACAAAGATATTGCAATTTCGAAAACACAATATTGATATCATGGATTCATTCCAATTTTCAGAAAAGACCTTGTACAAAAATACAGTCTGGACCAACTCAGAAACGTAAGGGTGTTCCATGTATAAAGTATTAAGTGACAGAGAAACGAGAATTAGACAAACAGATTTAGAAGACAACTTTCATAATTGATGACACCGTTAAACAGCGCTTTGACTAAATTGAAAAAATTTACACAAAATTCCCACATACATGATTGGACTGTATATTTATGAAATATGACTGTCTTATTAGTTCAGTCCTCTACCGGTGAAACCGGAATGGAATCTTAAGTTTCCTCCTTGTCTGTCTGTCTGTCTGTCAGTCTGTCCCACTTGGTTTTCCACATATTTTTTCTTAACGCTTATAGTTATTGAGCTGCCTTCCGGTATGTGAGTGCAGCATGACGAGTGACAGAGCAGGTTTGCATTTCTTTCTGCTTCATTAATTTTTTACGGAATTGTGGCCTTTTTAATTTTTGAGGGAAACCAGATTACACTTGCTGGTAGGGGACAAGTATTACTTGTGCAGTACTCTCAGAATGCTTGTTAGTTAAAGTTTGCTTTTGATAACATAAAGACTCTTTGTAGGAGATGGGACAGAGAAAGTCAGAATTTGAAGAAAGTCTGAATTCCTTAAACCCGCGAGTGAACCTTTCCTCCAAGTATTGGTCTAAGTCACAATTAGAAAACATCAGGTTAGTGATCCAGACTGAATCAATGATTATAATCCAGATTTCAGTATCAAATCCAGAAGAGGAACATCAGTATTAATTAATTAATTGAAAATGTTGCACATAAAGAGGAACGAACGCTCTTGAATATTAAACATCGTACACTTGTGTTGGAATTAAATGAACACACATGTATGTATTCATTTTTGATCATTCAATGTGCTCGCCTGAAAAAAGGTGTTGAATTTTTTTCTGGATTCCAAATAAGATTTAGTTATTATTATATTTAAATATTTCATTTATCATCTTCAAATTTCATTAGCAAACTTTCTTAGCCTTTTGTTTCCTTTTTATTCTAGTAAAATGACGATGCAGATCTGTATGCAGCAACAAGACTTACTTGATGTAAGTTTACAATTATATCTAACTATTCTATTGGTAGTCCATGGTCAGATTTAACTAGTGTAATGGTGCGTAGTCCATAATAAAATTTAACTTGTCGGATAGTATTCAATGGTAAAGTTTCACTTGTCTGATTGTATTTCATGTTAAATAGTATTCCACGGATATCAAAAGTCTCGTTTGAAGTCATCATTTCGCAGGTTCTATTCTCAATACAATGACCTTATCCGCAACTACAATCTTTCAATAGGTCAAATGCTGATTGACGTTTTTAAATACCAATTGTTAAAACATGGCTGTGACGTAAACCTTTTGTTTGTGTTGTCCCTTCTATAGCTTAATGTTGAGCTAACTCCCAAAACAATCCATTAAGTTACCTGCAAGTGTCCATTCTTTTTGGAAAACTGTCCTTTCTTTTTAAGAATGGACGGTTTTTTCAAAAAGAATGGACAGTGAAAACAAACAGAATGGAGAGTTACAGGTAAAGTTTGAAATGTGCCCAAGAGGAAAAAAAATGCATTAAATACGATTTAATTTACATGTTAATAGCAACAAGAACACGGAGATCTTAGTTAATCCAGAGCAAAATATCTGCACAGAACCCACCTCATTTTACGCTTTTAAATCCATAAATAATGCACATTATTTCAATACTCAAAACTCAATTTTCACAAAACTTGAATATAAATGACACAATTTCTCATTGATTTAAATTTCGGAAACACCAGTCCCTGGAGAAGAATCCATTTTAAGATTGAAGTACAGCTTATATTAAATCCACCACCCAGAAAACAGTTTGCTCCATAGACACTACACTGCTGCAGTTAATATTTCCATAGAAAATAATTAAAATTAAAACATTTCCAGATTTGAATTGAAATGCATTTTCAGGTCGAAGTTTGGCTCAGGTCTAATCCAACACTCAGAACACAGTTTGCATCTCACCATTACAATGCTGCAGTCAATATATCCTCAAAAAATAAAATTCAAATAAAACATTTTCAGATTTGATTGGAATTTGATTATCTCTATCTGTTGTAGAAGAAATTCATTTTGGGGTCAAAATTTGGCTAATATTTTCTTTTACTATTCTCGGTTTTCAGATCCAAATATCACTGATTTTGTGCGTCTTTTGGTTCATTAGATTTTGATTCTCTCATACACTCTCTCCATAGGAGGAGGAAAACATGTATGCCGTTACAATGCAAACATTAGACCATTATTTACACACTGAAATTTCTACGGATTTTGATAAGGAGCACGTACACGGCGGGTGTGACCGGTCGGCAGGGGATGCTTACTCCTCCATGACACCTGATCCAGCCTCTGATTTTTTCGGAGGTCCGTGTTTGCTCTATCCCCAAATTATATTTTTTAAATGGACTTTGAGCTTGAATACTGTTCGTTATCTCCATATTTCATGGTCAGATTTTACAAATTTAAAGTACCTTTACAATCACATATGTCTTATGTAAGTTTATAGTCACATTTAACTGGTTTAGAATATAAGTTCACGGTCAGATTTAAGCTGTTACCTTGTATAAAACACGTCCTTTACTATAATGCCCTATTCTGTGGTCATGATCACGAGTTGTATTCGTACAATGGAGACATATTAGTATATAAACAATTTTTTGTTAGAAATTTTCACTGATCTTGAGTGTTAAACATGTCATTATAGACTTAAAATGTTGATAATAGTTCGAGTAAAATGATAAAATTTTGTATTTCGATCTGTAACCCTTAACATTTTAAAAACAATCATTAAAATTTCAGGCCAATGTATTTTTGCATATTACATTAACAGGGAAAATTTATACTGTTTTGGGTTTTTAAATCTTAGGTCGAACAAGATAAAATGCAAGAAAACCTCACCCAAGAAAGTGGAGAAACCAATCAGATTTTAGACAGAACGAACGAGAATGAAAGTGTGTCTTACCTGCCAGGAGTGTTTCCTCAGGAGATTCCTTTAACTACAGGACAACAACCAAATGTAACTTCAGAGCAAGATTTTGATGATATTCTAAGAGAAAAGGGAGATGACACACTTACTTCAACTACAGGACAACAACCAAATGTAACTTCAGAGCAAGACTTTGATGAAATCCTAGGAGAGAAGGAAGTTGAAACTCCTAATCAAGGAAACCAAACAGAAGATGAGGTTTATTTAAGGAGGGAAATGGTGAATACACTTAAAGAATTACTAGAAGCCACAAGACAAAATGGGCGTCTGTTGATGATGTTGGACTCCAGTATTAAGAAGAATACAATGGTACTGCAAAACTTTGCTGACTTGCAGAGGGCAAAACTGAAGGAGGAGGAGAGTTGTTGAAAGACTACCCTTTCCCATGTGAACATGCTGATAATCTTAAAAGAACTCATATTTATCTTAGGCCACCAACCACCTTTAAAAGCCGAACAATCATCTCTTTTATCACAGGAGATCAATTTGAATTTGTATTTTCAAAGATGGGTATTTATATATTGTTTACATATAAACTGTACACTTATTTTAAGACACTGTTAAGAATTTATGTATCATTTTAAAAATGTTTTTTATTGCGCAGCTTTAAAACAACATCCAGATTTAATATTTGCACTCTGTTTGGAGTGATATGATGCTAAAAATGTTAAGTAAGTCTACGGTAAGATTTAGTTTATTTGATGTGTTTACTCTAATACTTAACAGCACCAAAAAAAGGTTTACAAATTTTGATGTGCTGGAAGTTCACAGTTACGTAAATTATTTGGTGTAAGCTTAAGTGCAAATTCACAATCTTTACACCATATTTCATATCATAAGAATAGGCTATTTGCCTGCTAAAACTCGAGGTTTTCTTTAAAAAAATTAAAGGGTTATTATACTTTTCATGCATACATTTGGTTGGGACTTTTAAAAATGTGGGGAAAAAGTCTTCTGAAATACCGTTTCATATATTCTAAATTTATCAACTCTTACAGGATTATCTTCGAATTTTATGAGTAAGTGTTAGGCGGTTCATTAAACATATTTTTGTTTAACGTAGGGCTATTCCTTAATAATTTAATTTTGTTTGTATTCTAGCCTCTGATTGGTTAATATCCAAAAAGGAACACAAATTATTTCTGTATAACCTGGTTTGGTATGGGGACACGCCCCCCCCCCCCCCCCCGACAACCAGCTGAATCATCTGTATCCATACAATCCTCTCATTTGCAGTCCTCGGGATTCATGGAAAATTCCAGATTTAATAAATATACCTTTAACTTCAAACAAAAATTCGATCTTACCACATATAAACAAACAACAAGGCTGCTAGGCCTATGTATCAGTTTTTACCTCCCCTCCGTTCCCATCACTTCCGTTACTTCCGTTACTACGGTTGTATTATTGAGCGGCAAATTTGAACTAATAAAAAGCAACGAAATTTTACACCCATAGTTCTTTGATAAAATTAAATTATGAGGAATGACTCTAATTCTTGGCCAAATTATTCGAGTATAACCAGGTTTGGGTCAGTTTACGCTGTTTTATAATCCGCTTCGCGGGTTATAAAGCGTAAACTGACCCAAATCAGGTTATACTCGAATGATTTGGCCAAGAATTAGATTCATTCCTAGATTAATCTCTTTACAATATAGATAATTTTCTGTTACTTATAGCACATTGTATTTCATAGATTACCAACCCTTTTTCTCTCCTACAAATCATATTGTTAGAATACTATTTTTTGCTTGTGTCTTGATATCAATGAATATAAATCCATTTTCAGTTCCCCTTTCTTATCTGTATCACGTGAGGACCGGTCACGGTAGCCCAGTGGTAGTGCGTTCGCTTCGTGATCGGGAGGCCCGGGTTCGATTCTCGTTCGCTGCGCAGCGTCAGACCTAAGTCGTAAACATATAGGTAGTGAATGCTCCCTCGCCAAGCGCCAAGCATTACAAGTGAAAGTCACAGGTGGCACAAAAAAGAACCATCACTGCTCGATGGACCTGAGTGCCAAATATAGGTCTAAATTTGAAGTCCTTCACCGGCATATGGTGACGTCTCAATATGAGTGAAAAATTCTCGAATGGGACGTTATACAACAACCAATCAATCAATATCATTTGAGTTTTGGGGTTTATGATAGGTTTCCTGAGAGAAGTATTGTTTTTAGTGCAATGTAACAAGTGTCCTGTAAATTATATTAAACCTGAACACGACTCGTAAATAGGCATACGCCATTTCGTCCAAAAATGTACTTGATGAACAATTTTCAAATAAATGCAAAGTTGTTGGTTTTATTCTCTTTTCTTGAAAATACATTTCGGATTTTTTTTTTAGTTTTTCTTACATAATATGATTAAACTATTAAAAAATGAACTTTGAGATATACCATTGAAGTAAATACACATTGCTTTGGGAACTCAGAGACTTATTTGTAAGCATTTTCAATTATTTAACCTCTGATTTTAAGAATGGATCGTACTACCTTAAAAATCGATTACCGAGAGAGAAGAAAATGAAAAGTAAATTGTTAGTACCTGGGCTTTTAGAATAATTTGAAAATACATGTGCATTTTTGAGAGAGCAAAACTGCACAGGTGTTGAAAAAAAGTCTTAATTTTTCCATTTTTGAAAATATAAACTATATTTTTTTTTAGAGTAGAACAAAGTAAAAATAAAGTATCATACATTTTAATGACTAAAAAAATCTGCAATGATGTATCAAAGTATTCTACTGTATTTTACTGTAAAATAAAAACATATTAAATCATTTTTCGGGATATCTAAATTGATATAGTTTTATAAGTATAACCAAGCAGAGAAGGAAAACGCAGGTTTTATAAATTTATTTGGAAAATGAAAAAGCAATGGCAGACCTGAAATATGTACAAATACAAACAAATAATACAATATCATAATACACATAGACATTGAAATTAATACACTGAAACAAAATACTTTTATTTCCTATTCACTTCAAAAATAAGAAAATTTAAGTTGACTTAGTCCAAAAGTGGTATTTTCATAGTTAAAAAAAAGTTTCTTTCAAAAAAAAAAAAAAATGAAAAATACTTAAGCTTATAACTTGGACTTAATAAATAAATTACAACAAAATTAATAAAAGAAAATTTACCTTTCAAGTGGTGACAACTGGCAGCTGGTAATTTGTAAGAGTAGAGTTAAATTTCCCGCACCGACAGGAATGAGTCAGTGCCTCAGTATTTATAGAAGGAAAACCGGTTAAACAAGATTTACTGGGGGTACAACTTTACTGGCCAATGAAATTTTATGAGTAGAAATTCATGAATGAAAACCAAAACACGAATTGGCTACTAGCAAGTAAGGCATATAGTAAATAATGGCTCAGCTAGTTCTGGAGAAAAAAATCGAAAAATTATTTTAAATAAATATCACTCTGCCACATTAGGATATTAGGGCTATAATTCTCCGAAAAACTCTCAGAGTAAATCGATGAAGCATGAAAGTTAACATAATTAAGCAAAATTTTATAGTAAAATATAAGAAAGTATTTTTAAAAGTCAAATTATGTACCTTTTATTGTAACCAATAACGTTTTATGAGTAATGTTGTATTTTACTTTAATGACAGTAAAATTATGTAAATGAAGTTCATATCTTTTTTATACACTGTAAACATGAACCTTAAAAGATTTATTCCATTTTGCTAATATTGTATCTCAGCTCAAAACTATGATAACATATTCCTTGTGCGTATTTTTAAATGTGCGTAAAATATTTTTCTTAAAAATAAACACGTTAACCTTAATTTGAACAGTGTTGAAAAAATGATGCGTAGTGAAGTTTCTAGGTCAAAGACTGGCACTATGTATGATGGGTTTTAGTATCACCACAAATGTAAACACTTCAAAAGACAATGTATGTTAACGGCCGAATTTGACCCCTTATATGTTAATATACATGTATATAAGAACTTGATATGATACTTAATCTATAAGATATATTACCAGCAATAATTTTTATTCATATCGTACAGATAGACCACAAGGTGACAAATAAGAATATTTTACTAAAAATTCTTAATTTGGACGAAATTTCGTCAAATTTGAGACACTTTTTACCTCCGAAAACGAAGGGCACAAACTTTCCTATCCTTTGGACATCAATTGATTTTTTGCAATTACATGTAATGATTGTACTTTAAGAACAAACAATACGATAATTAGGAATCCTTCATCAACTTATTATCATAATTTGATGTAATGCATGTGCTTGTATTTGTAATTCTAACTTAGTATAACTCCACTATTGAGACAAATCTAAAATTCCTTTTACACATGTAGTTACTTGTAATTTAAAACGAAAGTTAAGATTAATTTTACACTCATAAATCTTTGAAACAAGCAATTGCTAAAAATAAACAGCAACAACTCTTAAATATTATCATACTCCTATTACCTAAAATCTTTAGAACACAAGTTTCCTAACCTTGAAAATAGTAAGTAATTTGCAAAGAAACCATAACATGAATTGGATTCCGTACATCACCAAGTGCACTCTAGGTGCACGCCTAACAAATGATATCTTCCACATTTATTTTTCACTTAAATGGCGAAAGCGTCATCTACCCGAGATTTAGAGGAAGTAGTAAGAGATGGATTAAACACACTTGTGTTGGCTTTTGGAAACAAAACTAGAATACCAGGGGTGATCAAAGTTCGCAAACTAATTGAATAACTTTCATAAAAGAAATAAAATTAGATTTCGGTGTTTAATATTTTCTAAAGTAGTCCTCTCCGATTTTAATGCACTTCAACAACCATTCTGTCCATGCGCGAATCACGTGATCCTGGCGGTCACGTGACATGCCCCGAAGCGTTCTGTTCACTGGAGCTAAAAGATGTTTCCGAGTCTTACATTTCTTACCATGAAACTTATTTTTTAAAACTTTTAAAAACAAGAATTGTCCA